CATAGTACTACTCGTTTAGCTTAAACCTATGTATATTTTATGAATAATTGACTTGGATAAAATTAATAATTAGATATAATAAATGTAAAAAAGCTAACGTTACTATGATTGTCCCCAGCTCGTATGTCTTAATTTTAAGTTTGAATTCACAAAATATATATTGTAACATTACATTTATAAACATTGCTACAGTAATATGAATTTATAATAGCAAATAATTGTTTATTAATATTAATACTAAGTAAATGTAATATTTTTTAAAAATAAACAAAATTCAATGACTTAATTATGATTTATTAGAAATGTTTTATATTGTCAAATACATACATAAATATGATACTGTACTAATCAAGTGATAATAAATAATAAATTTAATTAAAAGTGAAATGTTTACAAAAGTGCATATAATAGTGAATTATTGACTACATGTGCTAGTTTGAAAAAATTAAATAATTTGTCATAAAATAAATGATAAATAAGTAGAAATACAATAAAACGCATTAAAAAGCATAATAAATAATCACATAGCTAACATAAAAACGGTTGTCCCTTGAATAACGCGTATAACCTTATCCACTACCGGTGCGCTCAGTCCAATATCTCAGCCAATCTCAGCTCATGCCTTTCCAGACGCCTTTCCACATCAAAATAGTAGTCCGGCTCGAGTAGGCCTACCCCCGAGGCCTCAATCTCCAGGAGCTCTCTTTCCAACTCTCGGATACGGCGGAACTCGTGCTCCAACTGGTGATACCGGTGCCGATGATGATGGTTATGCCGGTAACGACCTAAATGACCCTCGTATGTGGACAGTAGGGGACTGATACGGCTACTGATCACGAGTCCCGGTGCGTAGTGAGCGTTAACAACTAATGGACAGGTAGTCTATTAGTGATATACAATAGGGATAGACATGTGCTGATCGATAGGGCTTACCATTGATGAGGACAACCATCGCGAGTAGACTTATGCACACAAAACGACTCATGATTTTGAGACAAAAACTTTTTGCTTATTATTTGAGAAATAGTTTTAAAAAATATAATTATTTTTTCGTTTAATGAATTGAATACTAGTTATGAGAAAATGTAACGAAAAATATGTTTGTCTTATACTATGGACTAGTTTTATAAGTTGACTGATCAGCACCTGGTTATCAAATGATTGAAATTATAGTGAAAGTCATGGTCTTATATGCAAACTAACTGACCCAGACTATAGTCACGCATACACATATTGGTTCATAGGGAAAGGGATGATAGCCTTCACCTGTTTGTCAGATTAAAGCAATGTTTGAGTAAATATTAGGAAAACCCATTACTTGTGGTGAAAAGTATAGGAATTTTTGTGAATATTATTTCTAATAATAAGTTATTTATTGGCAAATGTTTGATGAGTTTTCAAGTTTTATTATTGGAAAACACTGGCTATGAGTGAAATGCAATACTATTTTGTTTGCATTAATAGGCTGTCAATAATTCTTGAAATAATTTGTAAACTTAAAGTTGCAAGCTATTATCAACTTTTTGGGAATATCATTGTATAATATCAACTATTATCAATTTTTTATTGGCCTATTTTACATTTGTATATTAGGTTGTAGATTTGTAGTATATTTTTTGTCCTAGTTTACTTGGTGCTATTAATATAATTTTTTTAACCAAATATATTATTTTGAAATAAATAACATATTAATGTAATTAATTAAAAGTACACATTAACCGATAGGCAATATACAATACACATAACATTGTCAATAAATAATATAATAATTTGTGAATCAGCAAAAAATAATATTATTATTTATGTTGTCCTAATTATTTCTCATACCTCTTGAGTTGTCCAAGGGTACTTAAGTTGTGGTTATTAAATAAAAAGTGTTTTAGTAAAAATTAAAATTGCAGTTTGTTTTTAAAAATTAGTAAAGATTAATGTTAAAATGCATTTTATGTTACGTTTTAACCTAATCTTATTGTTCCTAATAATCTACCTGGCACATATGCCAACATCGCATCAGCTCGTATGTTAAAACTCTAAATATAATTTTATTTAAAAACTATTATATTAGCTTGCTGTTTTTAGCAATATGTTGTGACTGCACTTCGGGACAGGCGTTTAGCAATTGTGGTGGCTCAATAAGTTGTTGCCCTGGTACTCCGTAATTTTAATAGACAAATAAAATTTAATTAACCAAGAAGTTAACATTGAATAATAAGTTAACATTTTATTATTTTAGCAGTCTTATTTAAAAATTATTTACTAGTTTTAATTGTAATAACTAAATATAATTATCATGTTCTGGTAATTAAACCTTTAATATAATTAAATTACATAAGTAAATTATTAATATAATAATTAAATAGTATAATAGTATAATTAAATTATTTAAGTAAAAGTACATATTTTTAAAGTTAAAAATAAAATACTTATGTAATTATAAAAATTCTTATAAAATTCAAAATATTTTCAAAATTTTTTTATATTCAGTACCACAAGGACATTTAAAAAATTAAATATAATATAGTGTGAGTCATAATACAGTAGAGGTATAATTTATTAACCAAACAAGTTAATTAATTGTTATAATTAATTACAAGTAAGCAAGCTAATAAATTAATACAACATTAAATCAATTATTTATTTATGACATTATTGGGACATTTTCATTACA